GTCTCCAGAAACTTTATGTGGTGTTTTCTATAACTGTCTAATAGTTTCTGACATATTCTTGGGTAAATTGATGCCCAATCCACGCAGAATTATTTCAGCTGTGCAGTGTTTCACAGGTTTCTTGTATGTACAGCCTGTTTCAAATCCCCCCACAGCAATTCAGTGGGATTCAGTTCTGGACTTAACCCTCTATTTCTTCCTTTTGGTGGATTTACTTGTATGTTTGGGATCACTGTCCTGTTAAAAGGTCCACTTCTTCAGCTTCAGCTTTTTCACAGATGATCTCACATTCTCCTCCAGCCCTCTCTGATATGAAAGAGAATTCTTCTGATCAAATGTATGGCATGGCTTCTAGTACTGTGGCGAAACAACTCTTTCTTTTTGGCTTGTCTGTCCATCGCAAATTATTCCAGAAGTCTTGGTCCTTACCTAGATATTCACTTGCAAACTTTAGTCTTGCCCTGCTGTTTTTTAAGACAGCATTCCTCCAAGTGCACCTCCCAGGTAATTCAAATTTGTGCAGTCTTTTTTTAATGGTAGATGCACTTTATCAACAGTGGCAAGAGCTACCTGCAGATCCTATGATGAAATTTTGGGGTTCTTAGAGGTTCCTGCATAGACTGCATTTCTGTAAGTAAGCAAGCATCAATAAAGGAATACTCCAGTGTTTTTCAAACCTAATTTCAATCTGCCTTCTTTTATATTCTTATATCTTGTATATTTGATCACCACAGACATAAACTTTGAAGTAGAAGACAAATGAACACAACAAAATGTATCAGCTGTATCGCCATCTGCATTATAGCAATTGCATTATCAACATCAGAGGGTGCCCCAGGGCCTTTTAGGCCTTCAAAGAAGGCTTCCTGATTTCTTTGGACTAAAAATGCATGTCTGTAATTTTTAATAATTTTTTTTAGCTCATTTTTATTCAATATGATCATGCTTGCATTTAAACTCAAGTATTACAGTACCACTTGTTTCAATGTTAAGTATGAGCCGAAAACAAAAGGGTTAAATTCTTGAAACACTGAGTAGAAAACTGGCCAATCAGGGATTGTTTTCCTCATGGTATCTAGGTAGATGTAGGTAAGTAAGCTCTCCTGTTGGTTAGGACTTCAGGAGCTGAAGAGAAGTCCTAACACATTCGCCTAACTATCCGCATAGTGACAGAGGAATCAACCGATCATGGAAAATGATGAGGTGAATGTCTGACCTCATCAGTAAACTGAACATGATTGATAACTAGACAGTTTTTAAGTAAAATGATAAGAGTTCGCGACTAAACACAGGCAGCACAACTTACACCACAGAATGAACACAGTTCTGTCTCATTTATAAGCGGAGATTTGGCTAAACAGCTAAAAGTAGGTCATTTTTGCCCATTTAAACTGTAACAAATTTTACAGTAAAATTGTACATTTTACTGAAACAAATCAGATCTAAGTTTGGGTAAAGATGCTCAAGGTGGAGTTTCTGGAAAATTGAAAATGTCTGCATTCCAAAAAAAAATATGTTTTTGTGTAACAAAATAGCTCAAATGACGCTGAAAGTGAATTAAAACATTTTTGTGTTTAACATTTCTATGTCATGGCATTAATAAACGGTAACAAAATGTGCATCTAGAACCTACAATAGTGAGCGTGAAGAGTAGCACTATTGTGAAAATGAGCAACTAAGAGATAAAATAAATACATAAAATAAAATAAAATAAATAAATACAGCCCTGAGTACCTAACTTTGACTTCTTGAGATGTTCAGGTATGAAGCACACGTGCTATAGGCTAGCATATAACATCTCTGTGGTAAAAATCGAAGAGTTTATCAGCATAATTTACATTTTTTTTTATTTGGAGAACTCATATCATTGTTGGCTAAATCAGCAGGCTGTAGTCCAGCTCCAGTAGCTGCTCAGTTTAGGGTACAGGCTCCATAGTTGCTATATTACTGATTAGATGAGACATTAAAGCTGTACTGTGTTACCTACAGATAACAAACTATGACCAGCATGACAAAGTTCACGGTTAACCAGCATAGTAATGGTACGGCATCATGTAGCTAACATTATTAAGAAATTAGAAGTTTTATTAGACTCTATTTTGTCTCATTAACTGTATGAGTAGCTGCCCTACCTGTTAGCTCGGGTTTGGTACAGACAGCCTTTTACAATGTATGTTTAATGTGTGCTTTTATAGTAATCAGTGAGGACAGAGGTGCAAAAGAGACAAGCAGAGAGAGAGAGAGAGAGAGAGAGAGAGGTAAATGAAATATAATCAGTTTGAAACTATCACTTGATTTAGTGGAGGTTTCAATACGCATTTTCAGCTAAAACTAATCATAAATAAATAGTGGAAGCATTAAATAAACTTAAACAGCGTAGGAGTCAAATCAGTTTATGGAACAGTGATAGCAGTTTATGAAAGAATGGAGGGATGGGGAAGAAACAAATGAAAGAATAGGGTGCACATCAGTTATGGAGGAATAAAAAGGAGCAATGATTTTGTTAAAAATAAAAAAAAACTAAAGGAGAATCTTACGGTTGGGGTAATTCTTATATTTGGCACTTATTCTATTCACTATGAGATGTAGGTCACATTTCTGCAAAAGGGACCTCACTAAAAGTCTGATCCTAGTTACAGGGTTCTCATTCCTTTATCTGTTGTGGAGTACTTTAACAGCGCTCCAGCTCTTATATAACCGTCCTGCGTGTGATAGTGTGTATAAAGTCTAACAGGTTTGGCACATTTTCCAGCCTTATCTTAATTGCATTAACTGATAACACTAAAATGAAGATCAAACGTCAGTCACTGCTTTTGTAATCGTTGATGTATACAAAACAACTGGGCAGTTTTCCACTTTTACAGCACCATAAAGAGCCCTGTAAGGAGGATTATCTGTGCTTTGTTAAAGCTCTGGAGATTACTTAATTAGAGATAGATAAACAGTGTGGATTCCATCTGTGCTATCTGCGGCCGTCGTCTCCAGGCCTGCTTGTGGTGACCAAAACTAACCACGTCTCAGGGAAGTATGCAAACAAAATACTAAACAATGACCAACAAACTCCTGCATAGACTGCATTTCTGTAAGTATCCAAGCATCATTAAAGGAATACTGTAGTGTTTTTTAAACCTAATCTCAATCTACCTCATTGCTCATGTATATTTGATCACCACAGATGATTATTTTGATGCAGAAGAGAAACAAACAGGACAAAATGCATGGGCTGTGTTTCCATTTGCATTATAGCAACTGCATTTTCAGTTTATAGGGGACCCTCAGTGCCTCCCAGGCCTTAAGAGAAGGCCTAATGCATACGAAAACATGCATGTCCGTAATTTTTAATAGAATCACGCTTGTATTTAAACTCTGCAGGTATTGCAAAACTACTCATTCCATTGTTAAGTATAAGTAAAACTGGCCAATCAGGAATTGTTCTTCTCTGTGGTAACTAGGTAGATAAAGCTAAGTAAGCTCTCCTATTGGTTAGGACTTCAGGAGCTGAAGAGAAGTCCTAACACATTAGATTAACTATTAGTGAACCAACCAATAACGCTTTCGTTTCCAGTAAACAGTAACAATGTTATGAGAAAAAATGTCACTTTAGGCCTTCTAGAAGTTCTAGATACAGCACTGACTGTGAACATGAGCAGCAGCTTAGTCAATGGCCTGTTAGAAATGGAAAACAGTGGCGGCAGCTTTGTAGCAGGCCTCCACTGAAAGAGTCACTGTGAAACTGTTACAAGCTAAAATATACGCCAATATGTCCATCACAAGCTTCAAGCAGAGCATTCAAACGGAAAGAATACTCAGCATCGTGTTCAGTGTGACATCACTGCATAAACTCAGAGCCTCCTAAACTTAAAAAATCTCCAAAATGCACCTATAATGGGGGTTAATGTGCAGGTGATGGAGCGAGATTGTTCATTCACTGAAGTGTCTTTGAGTTTATTCTGCAAATATTAGTTTGTTACATATCAGATAAAGACATCTGCACCTTTTGATTAAACTGTTCCATAATGGTCTATATTGGCATTAAGGACTTACTCTGACTCCTGAAGAATGAGAGTGCTGCATCGTCCACACTCAAACAAAATAAAATGTTGAATTAACTCAAATATGTTCAGTCAAGAAGTTTGCATAAAAGCGATTTGAGTAGATATTGTGATGATTGCGCTATGAAGAAAGGGAGAAGAACACTACTGTTTACAGGTTTAATGCTTTATTGGAGCTGTGTTGGCCACAGCCACACTGTACATACAAGCCAGGCTTCAGACTAACGGCTAGCTCCAGCATAGCTTGGGCCTAAGCCTTTCCCCAAAAGGGGAAGAGCGTTGCACTACTTTGCTCCTAGCTCTCCACTGTCCAGTTCTTCCACTGTCCAGTTATTTGAAGCATAGACCCCCAAAAATGGAGGCTCCCAATACCGCTCTTCAAAAGAAGAGTCCCCAGTAGAACAAACCCAAAGCAACCCAAACACGTTCACCAAACACGCTACAATATGAACGAACTGGACTGATTGATTTTATGTGTTACTCCTGCATTCGACTTAATGCAGTTATGTTCAGCTAACGAAAGTAGATGATTGTCATACTGGACAATAGTGACAACATAAATTATTAACTGCAAACATTTTAGAGGCAACAGCAGACACCAGAGTTTCATGCAGTGTATTATTGATGTCATTTTGGCTGTATTATTCAGTTTTTTTAATATGTGGGTGTTTTTTTTGCATTTTGGTGAGTTTTTAACTTTATTGGCAGGAAACTATGTAAGACAATATGCAAATAAATGGAGCCAGGAGCCAATGGAAAAGTTGGAATGTAATTAGCTAATAAGCTAATCAAAACCAACAACGGAGAGTGATTTAATTTTTTAGTGCAGTTCTCACATATTACATAAGATATGCAACCAATATTAGGCACTCATACCTGTTATCTTTACAGCTGGCCATAAAAGATGCTTCACCATTGCATAAATGAACGTACTCGTGACCTTCAGCACCTGCTAGCAGTAAAAGGCAGCCAAGAACCTCCCAGGCTTTCAGATCACATTAACCTCATCAGTGCTGCAGGCGCTCCTGAGTTTTCTGCTTCAGTGTCTGTTAAAGGTGTCTGAAGAGTGAATCTTGAGGGAACAGCTGGACAAGCGTCCTTAGCTACCTTGCACTTTTGCTGTTTTAGCAACCTCGCTACATAATAGCCGTGCTGTCCACTTCAGAATGTGGTTGCTGGTGTTTTTGGTGTCGTTCCTGGTTTGGGCAGGTGGTACGTTTTGGTACCTGTTTGGCAGACGAAGCCCTTTCACAGTGGAATCAGTCAGGCCTCCAGAACCGATGGAGCTTGACCAGAAGAAAAGAGACAAAGTTCTGAAGCAAGGTGAGTGGACGATGAGTCTGTAGGTCAGGATTTCTTCTGAAATTAAGGTGTTAATAGTGAGTTTGTGCTGCAGTAGCAGCCTCATCTCTTCTGGGAATGGCTCTAAATATTGAAACATTGTTGTGAGGATTTGATTAAGCATTAGTAAGGTCAGGTACTGATGTTGGATGGTCAGTTCTGGATCACTCCAACTCATCCCAAAGGTATTGGATGGAGCTCCATCACTCCAGGGAACACAGTTCCACTGCTCCACAGCCCAATGCTACCCCTCTCGCCAATGACTGGCATTGGCTCATGTGCAGCTGCTCCAAGGTCAGCAATGGGTCCACTAAGCTCAATTACTTCATTCAAAAGGCTGTGTGGATACTTTTGTACAACTACTTTTGTAGTGAACTCTACAATGGCTTTACAATCAGTTTTATGAATATATATGAATGATATCTGGCATTGCTGAAACAGATGGCAATATTGGGTTAAGTGATTGTCTGTACAGTTACACTATGACTATCCTTGCCTATCTTTATGTATCATTGATGTGAGACAGACAGGTTTCTGTGAATTCACAATACAATGACATCAATGTCAGTGCTCTGTTTCTGCAGGCTTCACCAGGGAGAAGGTGCCACAGAATCTGGATGCAATCGTGATCGGCAGTGGGATCGGTGGGATGACGGCAGCAGCTACGATAGCCAAAATGGGCAAGAGAGTCCTTGTGCTGGAGCAACATGACCAGGCTGGAGGCTGCTGCCACACCTTCATCGAGAAAGGCTTCGAGTTTGATGTCGGTAAGAAGTTAATCACGTATAACCAACACATTTTGGCCTTAATTGACCAGTCAACACTTTGGACTACTTCAAATCTTGGCCAGATGTGCTCTTATAAGAAATTTTGATTGAGAACATTCAGCAGCCAGAGAAACTTAGCACAGCCAGAGGTGCCACCAAGGGGTGGCCGGGGTGGCCAACGCCATTGCCACCCTGGAATGAAGCATGGTCGCCCTTCTGGAAAACCCAGTCATTGAAAGTGAGACAGTCAGCCATCATCACTCAGCCATTATAAATAATGCATTAATTATGCTTTATGGTGACAATCTGCCACCAGAGTAGTTACCAGTCAGTTATAAGAGTCTGATGATGCTAAATTTAATAAAAATTAACATATTTTGCTGTGGCTAATTTACTCAGCAAACATGTGAGTGAATGTGGGGCCCTTCAGCAGTGCTGCACATTATGAAGTAGACTATTCAATGGTAAGTTAACTATCAAAAATGAGCTATAATCGTTTACACTGGAGCTCTGCCACTCAGACTCCACCCATCACACCTCACTGCCGAGCCCCCTTACGCTGGCCCCACCATCAGGCCTTCCTGTGCTGGCTTCGGCCTCCAGCCTTGCCACGCTGGTCACACCGTCCTCGCTGACAGGCTCTCACAGCCGGCTGATGCACCCCAGCCACGCTCGAGCCTCATCGCAACCCCATGTCAACCACTGTCTTCCGCTGCATGTCTTCGCCATACCGCTCCTCTCTTGCAGTTCTCAGCTTGGTTTGGTCTACTCCGCCATTTCACTGCTCAGTTTGCCATTTCCTTCCAGTGTGCTAGGGGGCGATCCCACTTCTGACACCATTGCAGTCAGTGTAGTACAACAAGAGGACCTGGGAAACAGCACTTCAAATGAATTTTATTTACACAGGAGCAGGACAGACCTGCCACTCAGCGCTACTGAACAGCTGGGACAGTCTGGCAGGTCAACTCTCACCATACAATGTCCTAATATGGTGACTACAAAGAACACACCAACTGCCCCACAGCCTGACAAAGAATAGCACAAGCAACATGTCTGTGCTAACAACACTCACAGAACTGCAACTGTGAACACTGAATGTCTCTCCTACCACAATGCAGCGTTTCCTGAGGCCCCACACGACGCCGCTCTGCATAGCCATGCCTGCTGCGCGTCCACAGCCAGTAGCAGGCCGCTATAAAAGTTTAATATGATGTCTAAAGATAAATAATGTTAATATCAGTTAGCTAGCTAGTTCGCTTTTCCTACAACTCTGACTCGCTTCAGTGTCAGCTTCTTGAGCCATCTCAAGCGTGAAAACCTGACAAAAATGACTGCAAACATAGAATTACACTTATTTAATAAATATTGAATGCAACATCTGAAAATACCTTTTGGCAGCCAGTTTATAATGTTTAAATCTACATTACATGTGTTATTACTGTTTATCATTAATATGACAAATAACTCCAAACGTTTGAATGGCCAAGTTATGAGTAATAAAATGATTTATTTCTGTCTCTAAAGGGCTTCATTACATCGGTCAGCTGCATGAGAACAGCTTCTTTAGGATTGTTATGGACCAGATCACTGAAGGCCAGCTGCAGTTTGTGGAGCTGGACAAGCATTTTGACACCATCATCATTGGCACTGGAGAAGAACGGAGAAAATACACCATCTACACGGGCAAAACTGAGATGGAGGAACATCTCAAGAAGCAGTTCCCCAAAGACGTCAAAGCTGTGGAAGAGTTCTTCAAGATCATGAAGGTAGTGCTGATCATGAAATACGTTCCTTATCGAACGGAATAGAACATCTTGAGAGCTCAAGAGTGAGACCACTTTAAGTCTTGTGATAAATTTTTAAAGTTGCTTCATTTTCTCTAAAGATCTCAGCCAGAAAGACCTCTTTCTTGGCTGCACTGAAGCTGGTTCCCCAGTGGTTGGCGCTGTTCCTGCTGAGGAGCGGCATCGCTGACCTCTTGTCCTCCGTCTTCCGTCTCATAGGCTCCAGTGCAACAGTGGTGGCTGACAGCTTGACCTCCAACAAGGATCTCCAAATTATCTTTGCTTACTTCTTCTATGGTGAGGTGATTTGCTTGGTTCTTGGGTAGTTCATCTATGTGTTTATCCATGCATCCATTTATCTGCTAGTTTTATGTTAGTCAGTAAGTCCGGGCTGAAATAGGTCTTTCATAACTTCTTTCTGCAGTGCCCCCTAGTGGCCATTCACATGTGGAATGGAAATGGACTTTTGATCATTTAAATTTTTAATCAAGTACAATATTTTTTCCCTGTAACTCTGTTATCAGATGAACTAGGAATCTGTCGTCTTTCTGTGTTTGAAATATTGTGACTCTAGGTTGAGCTGCTAGCGAGCAATGAGGGGCGAAGGGGAAGGAATGAGAGCCCCCCACTGTGAAAAAGCACTCAAACACAAAGACGGCTATGCCGAAATAATACAGAGAAACCTCAATTTCTTCATTTCAAACAACTCACACAAAACAAAGAGCATTTAAGCATTTAAACACAAAACACTTTTATAAATGTTGACTTGCACTATCACCTACGAAGATAAAAATCCAGTTTGGATATTTGGTAAGTCATACACATTTCCATCAAAATATATCACATTATTGATTAAATAAACTGCATAGTTCAGCTGAGGGAGCTCCAAACGGATCAGATTTTTCATTGGCTCCTGTGAAAATCTTTTATATTGGGTTTTTTTAGTACAAAACGAATGTGGCCAACACAAAAGAGCCAACACTTCGCATCAATATAGGTCACACATAGACTTCAACCAACTTCAGAAGCACAGGCTTTTGATACATAGGATCATTTTGTGGACTTAAAAAGAGGGTTTTATTTTTTTAAAAGGTAAAGGGGTGTCCAGAAGATTTACAGGGTCATTCCAGCCTACAAATAGATGTAAATATGGTATTTGCTGTGTTATCCAGTCGTCTCTAGTGCAGCATCGTATCCCTCAGAATCAACATTGTGACAGAATTCACAGTTCTATATCTTTTTCATGTTTTACTTCACCTCAATACCCAACAAACATTGCGGAAATACATCCTACACTCATTGGGAATTCCTGTGGTGCCAAACAGTCCTGACTGCTAGCATAGCCACTGAGATATATGTTAATAAATACAACCAAGCTAGCATTAGTGTAGCTCTTACCTCAGCCAAAACAAAACAGTGATTTTATTTTTATTCAGCACTAAATGAACACCAGCTCAGTTTTAACCCTTTCAGTCAGGGAAAAGGAGCCAAACTGAGCTAAGGTATCTCAATTAGGGAAGTAGACATAGCTTCTTTGCTAACTGTGGCTTTTAGCTTGTTGTTGTCCTCATCTAACAAGTCATTTCCATGGTTTGAGTTTTCTGTTCTCTTCATAGTAATGATGAATAGTTGAAGACAGTAACTACAGTTATATGGCTGTAAGATATTTGGCTAGCAGAAACATTAGCCATCTGGCTTCCTTCTGCATTCGCCAGCTAAAGAACAATATTACCATTTCAAACAGCCCCCAGAATCCACCCAAAGCAGTTATAGCTGTGTGGGTTGTAGGTTATAGGTTTACCCCACCTTCAAAAAGCCAGAAAATCACTCTATACCCTGCTAAAATCAGTGTACACCAGCATGGCTAGTCACCAGCAAAACCAGCATATGTTATGTTTTGGATGCTGGTATGGTGGTCAACCAGCATGACCATGCTGGGGTGACCAGCTAAAGCAGCACTAGACTTGCTTGCTGGTCTGTGCTGTTTCTTTCAGCAGGGTACCTCAGCACTACAGTGTAGGATGGAAGCATGTTCACAACAGATGTAGTGATGGTTAATTTTTATTTTGGCTGAGTGTCATTTTTAAAAGGAGTCCCAGGTTTTGTTTTTTGTCTGATTGTGATTTCTCCCTGTGGACCAGGTGTTCCTCCAAAAGATTCCAGCAGCCTCATCAACGCCCTGCTTCTGCACCACTACAAGCGTGGAGCGTACTACCCAAAAGGGGGCGCCAGTGAGATCCCATTCCACATCACTAAGGTCATCCAGAAATACGGGGGAAATGTTCTGGTCCGCGCTCCTGTAACTCGCATCCTGGTCGATAGTAAAGGAGCTGCATACGGTGAGTGAAAGAACGAGGTTACAGCAGTCGGCTGACTCAGATTTGATAAAGCATCAGATTTATGGATGAGAATAATTGTCTAGGAGAGCTGTGGAAGCTTTGTTTACTCAGAGTAACACAATTACTGCAACTATATATATTTTTATTGGAGACACTTCACTATAGGGGGACTTTCTAATGGCCTTTTAAAGCCCTTATTAAGCCTCATTAAACCAGTAATTGGTAATTAACTGTCCTTTAATTGACTACTTTATCAGCATTTTTATTTGTGTATAATATGCTAAAACATTTGCATAGCAATTTAAGTGTCTATTATAATGCAATAATATAATACACCTTGTTAAGCCTTAACAAGCCAGTAGCTGATAACTAATGTATCAGGCTAATAACTGGATGCACATCACTGTTTTATACACAATGAATGACATGCCAAACATTGTCATGTATATAAAAGTGCCTAGTTACTGTAAAAGCATAGTTATTGGTCTATAAAGAATTGATGTGTAGACAGTTGATTATCAGCTACTAGCTTGATAAAGATTAATAAGAGCTTTACAAGGGCATTTTAATGTCCCCCATAGTAAATTTATACCATTTATTTCTTTGAGAGTGGACCATATAGCTAAACATTATATGGTCAAATTCCATGTTATTGTTGATTTTCTAAGTGACAATAACAACACATCCTCTACAGAGACACACCTCTGCACATTTTATTGCTGTTTAATTACATTTTAAATTTATTACTGTTTATTGATTAATTTAACACACTGGGAAAAAATAAAACAAACTTTACCCTGTGCAAAAGTTATGGCACCTTATATATTTTGTTTTTTCCCAATGTGTTATATTTAACATATAAACAGGGATTGTGCACTAAAATGTACAGAAAAATGCCATATTAGAGGGTGATCTTTGTAGAAGATGTGTTAACATACTTTCAATTAGAAAATCAACAACACATGAAATTTGACCAGGGTGTGATCACACTTTGGCATGTGACTGTATATTGATATTTATTGTATTTAATGTTTTGCAAACAAGTTACCTTCTTAACAGGTCACGTTTTATTACACACTTCTATAAACTAATAATAGCTCAACCAGTTTGCCCTGAAGTCCCTGTAAATACCGAATAAGAAACCTTAATGTGAAATTTGACTGGGATTTTAAAGGGTTAACAGACAAAATGAGGTAGCAAAACAGAAATGCCAAATCTAAAAAAATATATAAATATAAATATAAAAGCTATAAAAACCAACTTGCAACATTTTTTATGTAACATGAAACAAACTATTTAAGAAGAAAACATAAAAAAGAAAATAACAGTAAATGAATTAATAAAGATGATGTTTTCATCTGATCAGCTACTTGTTACTATGCAGTTGCTGTTCACTGGTTGTTGTTGTTTACAGGCTCTCTAGAAAGTTGCTCAGTGTAGACGTACTGGCCACACCCACCAAATACTCAGGAAAACATATTGTTACATAATTTATCATTATAATGTTGACATATCGTCGTATCGCCCACCTTTAAATGTCTATAACATGCAGTATCTCATGCTGTGGTTCTGTTGTAGGCGTCTTGGTCAAGAAAGGTCAGGAGGAGGTGGAGGTGCGGGCTCCTATCATCATCTCCAACTGCGGAGTCTTCAACACCTTCAAGAGGCTTCTGCCTCCAGAGATACAAGCCAAACCAGGTCAGATATTCATCACGTTATCAGTTCTTCAGTATCTTCGCTGTGAGGACCTCAGGGGTCAGATTTATTCTAAACACCCTCTAAACAATCTCATCCTGCAGAGATTCAGAAGAGGCTGGACATGATGAAGCCTGGACGAGGATCATTTTTAGTTTTCTCAGGTTTTGACGCCACTGCAGAAGAACTGGGCATCAATTCCACCAACCTCTGGCTCTTTGAGAATAATGACATGGATGCCATGTTAGTACTACTGCAAAACAGTGAACCTCACACAATACATAAACATCAGTTCATGTGGTTTATTAAAGGGGAATTCCACCAAAAGTTCTGCATAATTCAGTGGCTGGATGGTGTGAAATACAGTGGTGTTGATAGGAACCAGGGGTCGCCATGACTATAACACAAACATAGACATTATATTTACTATCCAACACTATGCCAGTGCCAATGCATAGACATTTTGGAGGATTTTGGAGTGATTTAAACATTTGTTTAATGTGACACTGATGTTATCAGTGCTTTGCTGATGGGATTTCCAGTGCTGTGGCCTGTACTGCACCACAGGGGGCACCCAAGAGTGAGAAAGCATGTGGAACCTGAGCTGACCCACAAGACCCACAGACTTGATGTCACCTCATTAAAACAGCTTGGGAAGAATGACCATATAAACCTTTTTTGTAATGCCAAGAGCACTTATACAGTCTTATAAAGGGTCTTATATCAACCCCCCCCGCCCGGGTCTATCTGTACACAAGCCTGTACAAAACCACCAGTGAACCTACACGTCTCTTCTGAGGTTTATATGGAATGTTGATGATGGGAAAATAGTGGAAAATCTGAAATAATAAGTTTTCTTTGGGGACTATTTTGCCTCACAGCACCCTGCATGTATCCCTCCACCACGAACTGAGTTTTTAAAAAGACCAAAATCTTCATAAAACAGCGTCTCAGTCATCAGGCAGTGAATTCATAACCATTTCATATAGTAACTTTCTTTGAGGAGCTTTTAGAGGTGGACGTCTGGTTCCTATCACCACCACTGTGAACAATTAATTTCATACCAAACCATACTACTTTCTGCCATAGGTGGAGCGGCCAGATCCGAAGATCATCCAAATACCAGCATTTTTTGCAAAAATGCTTAGTAATTTGGCACTTAAATAGTTTGGGTAGTTTCAACAACATAACAGAAAAGTTTAACAGCAGCCCAGCCTGGTCTTCTCTTCAGAGTGATACTTGTTGTTACATGAAGTCCACACAGGGTAGCGCTGTTGCCTCAACCTTCAGAGTTTGAACAAAGCCAGCCGCAGCGCTGGGCTCCTTGCCATTCTTCCATTTGGACATGGTTTTATTCTCCGCTGTGTCCAAGCAGAAACAATTATATGACGGGCTGTGGGAAGAACAGGCCAACCCCAGCATTTCTATGTACCCACATTCTTCAGCAAGGCTACATGCATAGATCTTCTACCTAAAGCTCATATAGACTCAGTTCCCTTGCTTTCTGTACTGGTGTTATAATGGGTTTCAGCAGTGCTGCACCTTTAAAAGATCTGTTTTTATGTAAAGGATGGACGATTTCTTCAGTTTGGAAAAGGACGAGGCTCCAGATAACATCCCCATGATGTTCATCACTTTCCCCTCCGCCAAAGACCCCACGTCGAAGATTCGTCACCCAGGTACAACCTCTGGAGCAGCTGTGTCTCCGCCTACACTGCAGTGCTTCCAAAACTTTTATGGAGTAACTCTTCCAACTCCTAGACCTTCAATTAGAGCTCTGCAGTTCAGTGATGTGGCAGAAAGAGCTGAGCGTTTGGAAGCTGTAAGCTGGTTTAGAGCAGGAGGTCAAATGAGGTCACAGTAAAGATTTACAGTACTGTGAAAAAGTTAGAGACCCCCCTTCATTGATTACATTTCCAGTCAAAACAGCCATTAAGTACAAGTTATTCATTTTTCAGACTTTATTGATGTAATAATAATTATGCTTAAGTTATGTACCACAGTGTGTCTATCTATCAATCTATCTACATGGACAAAACTATTGGGACACCTACACATCACACCTACAGGAGCTTTTATGACTCCCATTCGAAATCCATAGGTATTAATATGGAGTTAGTCCCCCTTTGCAGCTCTAACAGCTTCCACTCTTCTGGGAAGCTTCTACAAGATGTTGGAGAGAGTCTGTGGGAATTTTTGCCCATTTATCCAGAAGAGCATTTGTGAGGTCAGACACTGATGCTGGACGAGAGGGTCTGGCTCACAATCTCCGTTCTAGTTCATCCCAAAGGTGTTTGATGGGGTTGAGGTCAGGGCTCTGTGAGGGCCAGTCAAGTTCTTCCACACCAAATTCACCCAGTGAAGCCTTTATGGAGCTGCTTTGTGCACTGGGGCTCAGTCATGGTGGAACAGGAAAGGTTCTTCCCCAAACTGTTCACACAAAGTTGGAAGTGTACAACTGTCCAAAATGTCTTGTTCAGCTGAAGCATTAAGATTTCCCTTCAGTGGAACTGAGGGTTCTAGATCAACCCCTGAAAAACAGCCCCATATCATCATCCCTCCTCCACCAAACTTTATAGCTGGCACAGTGCAGTCAGGCAGGTAACGTTCTCCTGGCATTCACCAAACCCAGACTCGTCCATCAGACTGACAGATAGAGAAGCTGATTCGTCACTCCACAGAATACGTTTCCACTGATCCAGAGTCCAGTGGAGGTGCTTTACTCCACTCCATCAGACGCTTTGCATTGTGCCTTGTGATGTAAGGCTTGAATGCAGCTGCTCAGCCATGGAAACTTATGCTATAAAGCTCCCGGTGCAGTTTTTGTGCTGATGTTGATGCCAGAGGAGGAACTCTGCAGTTATTGATCAGCAGAGCGTTGGAGACTTTTGTGCACTTTATTTAATTGATTAAATGTGGTGTGTCCCAATACTTTTGTCCATATAATGTGTCTATCTATCTGACAAAAAAGGAAATACAATAAAAAGAAGAAAAAGCAGAGGCTCCAGATAACATCCCCATCACTTGGGGAACGCTGAAATCCAATGATGCTGGAGACCTCAACATCACTGAATGAGTTTGATTACTTCAGAAAATGATCAACCAGCTTCTAAGACTGAACTTTGGAGGTGTTTCTGCAGATTCTTTGAGGAGCTGAAAGTGAGTCTCCTGAAGAGAATGGAAGGTAAAGAGTGACTCACTGACTCACACAGCTGAGAGTAGATTTAGTTGTGTGATTTTGTACTTAATGGCTGTTTTGACTGAAAGTTACATAAATTGGGGGTCTCTGACTTTTGCATGGTACCATATCTATATTAGAGTGGACAGGTCAGCACCATATATTCATATAAGAGGTGATTTGTATTTATTCTTTAATGTGAGTGTACTCTACCATGTATTGTTACTAATAGCAGTATTAATGTTAACCTTACAGGTAAAACGTGCATGACTATTCTGACTATGGTCAATTACGAATGGTTTGAGGAGTGGAAGGACACTACGGTGAAAAAACGAGGGGATGACTACATGGATTACAAGATGAGATTCGCCAACAATCTCTTCGACTGGGCCTGTATGTACTTCCCCAAACTCAGAGAGAAGGTAAAGAAATGAAGGAGATATATATGAAGGAGAAACATTTTCAAGAGCAATGTCTCACCTTGAACGATGTTGACGTTTAGATGTGCCTCATTTCTCTTTTTCATCTGTATCAGTTGGTTTTTCAAGAGGTAGCGACTCCACTGACTAACATGCACTACCTCGGAGCTTACCGCGGAGCCATGTATTCAGCCGAGCACAACTTGGACCGCTTTCACGTAGAGGTCATGGCCAAGAACCGCTGCGACACTCCTGTCAAAAATCTCTTCATTTCAGGTATGGCCAGTCTTTCTGCTGGATAGATTTAATATCAGTACAAAACCCACTTATCTCCATATATATATTTTCTACAGGATCTACTCTTGACATTGTGTGAACATTTCATGATAGGTGGACCAACAGGAGTGTAATGACATTATTTTACCTTAATAATTAAAAACATTTATGCCATCCCCTGTAAACTTACCATTTTTGGAGTTGCAAGATTTTATTAGGACAGTCAAAACATGTAGAGCTTTATATTAAGCACTATAGATATAGTATCTACCTAATAATACCTTCTTAAATGGGAACTCAATTTTACTGCATTTCTGCATAATTCAGTGCTTGAGATGTAAACAAAGCCCTTCAGAGTGGCTTGATGGAAATGGTTCATTGTAGATAAACTTACTGACTATGACGGCGCTGTATGTTACATGTAACTACTTGACTACAGCACATAGACCTTACAGTCAGAGCTATTTCTCATGTCTGTGTTTTTCAGGTCAGGATGTGTTCAGCTGCGGTATCGCCGGCGCATTACACGGCGGTCTTCTCTGTGCCTCCATAGCGCTTGGACACATCGTTTACATTGACCTCTTGCTGCTCAAGAAGAAGCTGAAGAGGAAGAAAGCTAGAGAGATGGCTGCACTCGCTAAGAAGAAGCTGCAGTGAGATTAAAAATCACAGGCCCAGCAGATTAGAAGTGCACATATAATTATAATATTATATTATATATAGCATTATATCTATTGATATTTATTATATATATATTACACATTAAATATATATATATATATATATATATATATATATATATATATTAGTAATATCAATATATAAAAAAAACTTACACTTTAAAGAGCAAATTGAAATGAAACAATGACAGATGTTGTTTGACTCTTAGGAACTGTCCTGGATTAACAATTGTGCTCTTAAAAAAGTAAATATAACCAATTTTGTGTCATTTTTTTAACATATTAATAGCTATCCTACAAAATAATAATGAGTGAGTGAGTTTTATTGAATTGTATGCAAGAACTGCCATCGACCTTAACTACTCATAATTTTTCATAGAAATTTGTGAATTTGCAACTGATGGTTTCTACTGAAATAGCTGAAATAGTACTTTTAGATTATTGAAATAAATGCCAATAATCCATTATCGGAAATAAAATAATAAAAAAACAATGTGACTTTGCAGTTTTTTATTTAAGAAAAAAAAACTGTCTACCAATTTCACACATATTCTGAGAGAAATTTTTGCCCACTCCTCCGTGCAGAGTCATTTCAACTGTGCAACGTTTGAGGGGTTTCTTATATGTACAGCCTGTTTTAAATCTCCCCCACAGCATTTCAATGGGATTCAGATCTGGGCTTTGGCCATAACCCTCCATTACTTCCTTTTGGTGGATTTACTTGTATGTTTGGGATCATTTTCCTGTTGGACGTTCCTCTTCTTCAGCTTTTTCACAGATCACCTCACAATGTCCTCCGGCCCTCTCTGATATGAAAGAGAATTCATAACAAGTTCTATGACTAATTTGGCCAACATAGCAGCTCCAAACCATAACACTTCCACCACCATGCTTCACAGCTGGTATGAGATTCTTCTGATCAAATGTTGTCTTTGGTTTTGCCAAACATGGCTTCTGGTTCTGTGGTCAAACAACTCTTTTGCTTCAACATCTTTTTGATTCATCTGTCCACTGCACAGTGTTCTAGAAGTCCTGGTCCTTGCCTAGATATTTACTTGCAAACTTTGGTCTTGACCCGATGTTCTTTTTAGACAGCAAAGGTTTCCTGCAGGGGCACCTCCCAGGTAATTCAGATTTGTCCAATCATTTTCTAATGGTAGATGCCTGTCTTCCCAGACTCACAGTCATCTACAACTTTCTTTCTGAAGGCCTCAGATGATCTAGGCATGATGATATCACACACTCCAATAACATAAAGCAAACCAGACCAGATATCAGAGGTTTAACCCTTAAAATGGCCAGGGCTCACCAGCAGGCCACATGTTTTATTACACACTTCTATAACCTAAGATTAGCTCCACCAGTTTGCACCAAAGTCTCTGTAATTACTGAATAATAAGCCTTAGTATGTAATAACCCAGAGATTTTAAGGGGTTAAATAAGACAAGTTCCTCCAAGATATTCTTTAATGGGGTTCTAGTCATTAACACTTGATCAGGTGCACCTGATATGAATTGGACACATTTGATGTATTGATGTATGTATATAGCATCTGTCATTTCACTCATAAGACAAATGCATTTCAGTTTATGTTAATTATATAAAGGATTATAAAAATGTTCATTTTAACCATCACCTTTGTCCACCAACATTGTTTAATGAAGGCCAGATATCTGTATGTCCAAATGTGTTGACCTTACCTGTTCAGATGTCTGTAGGTAACTATATTAAAACACCATGTTACATAACAGACCCCCACTTACCTGTGTTGTTCTGACCCGTGTTTAAGCCCCTGCATGTTTTCTACACGATCAGGAATCAAAGGAACTGAGGGAAACCTCAGACTTCCTGCGCTAAGTGGACATTTCCTCTGGGACAACCTCACAGATTGGCTGGCATAACACGGCCCCTGACGGATGAATGGAGCCGAGCAGTGGAGGAGGAGAGCTGGAGCGAGGGATGAATGCCCCCACTGTGTGAGACTGCAGTGAGGAGCCAGTTCTGATCCAGCTCCCTGCTCCTCTCCATTAGCTGTGAACATCAACCTGCACATGCAGAAGCTCCGGAGCTGCGCTAGTGCTGAACGAAAGAGTACAGGTAAAAAATCTGATTCATGCAATTTTTCCTTTATTTTAAATTCATTAGCTAACACTTTATTTAAAGGCTGCCTACATAGGGATGCTATGACACAGACATAAGCATTGAATAATAGATTTATAACACAATACTTGAGCTTATGTCAGCATTCGCAAGCTGTAACAAGATGTTCATAAAGCATGCATAAGCACTGAGTAACATTTATAAAGCAGCTCTTAAGTATTTCTGAATGGCTTATGTTGGCATTCACAAGATGACAAGATTTTTATAAAGCATGCATAAGCATTCAGTAACATATTTACAAAGCAGTACTTGATTTATGAACAGCTTATGCCAGTATTCGCTAGATGTTACTAGATGTTCATAAAGTATGCAATAGCACTGAGTAACACACTGAATAACACATTCATGAAGCAATAATTCAACATCTATGAACAGCTTATGCCAGCAATCGCAAGATGACAAGATGTTCATAAAGTAAGCTTATGCATTGAAAAACATGTATAAAGTAGTACTTGAGTATTTATAAACAGCTTATGTCATCATTGTTTTATGTATTAAATGGCATTGTATTGACATAAGACCATAAAACCATAAGTCCTTAAAATAAAGCTGTGGATAAGATTCAAGTAAAAGTTTAGATATATTCACATACGGGAAAATATGTGTGACAATTATCACTGATGTTTACGCTCAGCAAAATATTTCATGCTCTTAACACATCAGCTTTGTGTTGCTTTACAAATGTGTTATTCAATGCTTATGCATGTGTTACAAAGTCCTTATGTAGACAGCCTATGAGAGCACCATGTATCTTTTCTACTCATAGTACTGGATTATGTCATTAAGAAGAGCACGCCTCCATGTTGGTAGGTGAGCTGTAACTCTGACTGTGCTCTGACGGAGCTCATCTCATCGCCTTTACTGCAGATACAGCCCTGCAGTATAAACACCAACACAACAGACCAGAATGACCACAAAAACATGAAAAGATATGTGGACACTTTAGATACATCTCCAGACTTGGACTGGATCCGTATAACCTGCACATCTCCAGAGTTGAGAACATTCAAGTGTGTGAGATTTTATAAAAACTAATAAAAGTGGCACCAAAACTACCAAAGCCCTTAAATAATAAACTCATACACAGATATAAAGCTGAAGTCAGTTCTTATTCACCAGATTCTCATCTGAATTTTCCATTCCACCTTAAATGGTGCTGCAGTTACAATGAGGTGCCTTAAACGTAGAATTAATTTTGAAAGCTGGCTAATACAAAGCCAGCTTGCCTCAATAAATGCATTAGTTTATCTCAATAAATATATTAATTTGCCTCAATAAGTGCATTAATTTACCTCAATAAGTGCATTAATTTACCTCAATAAATGCTCCTTAATTAACAAACCCCTCAAACTTCCTCTTGGAGGTGTTTAATGACAGCTAACGAGCAGCACAGCAGAGCAGCTGTTGAACGCGTCTCACTGTTTGATCTAACGCCGCATCCCAAACCACACACTTCTGTACTTCACGTACTGCACTAATGAGTGCACTTCTGAAGGTGCATGCTAGTAACACAGCAGGAAATCTCAGCCATTTAGATTTCAGCTTTCATTTGTTATCACTACAGCAACAAATCAAATAAAATCAAGACACTCAAATATATCGGTTAATATGGTTTAAAAATGAGATTTAAATAAGTATTTCCAAAAAAAAAAACATTGCTGGATCAGTTATGGCTTTATTTCATTATATACAGCCACAGCTCTGCTGAGTGAACTTGAAGTTGCCAATAAAAATGATGGCAGGGTGACTGTGATGTCACGCAGCTGTCAAAATAAAACATCTGTCAAAAAAAATCATTTTGCCTTTTTTTTGCCATAATTTGAAAATGCCTTTACATTGTGTGTAAATTTCATGATGAATGGACCAAAAGAAACAACCCAAAAAGACGTCTGGTTCCATTGACTTACATTAAAAGTAAAGTAGGTTTTTTCCTTCTCCTGTAAAGTTACCGTTATGGAGATTTGTTTTGTTCTGACAGCAGCACGTCATCAGAATACTATCAATAGGACAAACACATTAGCAGATCAATACTGGAAAGCTTTTCTACCACTGTGATAAATTTCTTGACTATAAAGTAAACAGAATCATACATAAGAATGGATGAAGAAAACAGAAACAGTTTCAACCACATCAAACAATGATTAGGAAGAAAGTCTAGGTTCCTCCGTGACTCTGAAGACTCCTAAGATGTTCTCCACTGTAGGTAGAGGTGAAGAATTAAAACCCAGTTCATGGTTAGATCCTGAAATAAAGGGATGTTTTGCAGACCAGAGTTTGCAATTATCCAGGCTCTGCATGCCCTGCTGAGCTTTATATAGAGACCCAGATCTCCCTTAATTCTTACTTGTAATGTCAGGACTGTGACTCAGATCTGGAGAGGTCATAAATGAGATGTGGCGCAGCATCTGGAACCCAGCAGGGAATCTACACGAGTCTTCTGAGTGTATATGGAATGTTGATGATGGGAAAATAGTGGAAAATCTGAAATAATACGTTTTTTTTTGCTTCACAGCACCCTGCATGAATGGATTTTAAGTCCTCAAAACTGTCATAAAACAGTGTCTCAGTCATCAGGCAGTGAATTCATAACCATTTCATGTAGTAACTTTCTGTGAGGGAGCTTTTAGAGGTGGACGTCTGGTTCCTATCACCACCACTGTGAACAATTCTGACCGAGTACGTTTCTCTAGAACAGAGCGTTTCACACCAAACCACTCTGAACGACTCTGTTTACATCTTAACCATTTAATTATGCAGGAGTTTATTAAAAATTGTGGAATTCTCCTTCAACATGTCTTTCTCTCCTTCTCTCTCCTCCTTTTCTTTTCTTTTTTCTCTCCTACTCTCTTTTTTTCTCATCGCTGTGTCTTAGTTGGTCTTACAAGGGTCTGACTCTCTTTTTCTCTCTCTCTCACCCCCTCCCACTTTCCCTTCCTGCCTCTCACACCCCTCCCTCTGCCTCTCTCACCATTTGTGTCTCTCTTTCTCTCTCTTTCATTCTTCATCACTCTTTCCCTCTTGTTTCTCTCTCTCTCTCTCTCTCTCTCTCTCTCTCCTCTCTGACTCTCCTCGTCTCTGATTTTCCCAACTGAACAGAAGCCAAACTTTCCAGCTGTTACTAATCATCAAAGAGAGAGAGAGAAAGAGAGAGAGAGTGACATTGAGAGAGAACAAGAAGAGAGAAAAACACAGAAAGGAAGGAGAGAAGGAAGGTATGAGAGAGAGAGAGAGAGAGAGATAGAGAGAGAGAGAGAGAGAGGGACAGACAGACAGAGAGGTAGGGAATAGAGAGAGAGAGAGAGGAAGAGAGATAACCAGAGAGAGACAG